GATCCTTACCCTTAATTCCTATCCCCAATTCCCCTTTCAAATTCCCTTAATTGTAATATGTATGTATATCCCTATTTGTAAATAAACACAACACTTATTTAAGATTCAGTTGTTCATCAGTAATTTAAGGCACCCCCAAATCAGAGCACATTCTACATCCCCATAGTTAGAACTGATGTGGGACACTGAAGCTGTCACACGTCGGCTCTATAGATCGAGAACAGAGTGATCACAAACTGCTGATCACTCAGTCCCCAATCCTCTCCCAGCAGAGAGCTGTGACTGTCATTCACTGCGCACCGCAGGGATCCCCCCCCCTCTCTCCGATCATCCAGCGCTGACTAGAGGCAGAGCCAGTTGTCAAACAGGCAGCGGGGTGGACCCAGACAATATCGTCGGGATCCTTCCTGGCTGCAGCACGGCTCTGCGCTGTCAATATATATATAGGGGGGGGAGGGGGTGGGGGAGGTTGCAGGGCAATAGCCTGCTATATACTGAGTTTTGGGTCATTAGTAAATGCCCTCCTGTGACTCAAAAGAGAAAGGTTAGGCCAAAGTTCTCTTTTTAGTAAAGACAAAGTTATACCCAAATAAACAGGTCCATAGTGGAAATGTAAAGATTGCTCTGGTCCATTAGTGGTATCCAGATTTGAGGTGATACAGGAAGGTTTATAAAGCAGAATCATGGTTCTGAAGTTGTAGATTACAAGAAACACTTATATGTAAATAATATGCTGATAATAAGTACTGTAATGCATATTCCATGTGTTGTAAGGACTCTGTATACTGTTTGTTTTCCTCTCACTGAATGTAACCAGAACGTCTTTCTACCCAGAAAAACATATTCCTATTTCCTGTATATTTCACTTATACAGCCCCCTCCCCCCATACTACCCAACAGATGACAGCATGGCAAGCTGATGACAGACAGACACACTTTATTTAAAAGGCGAAGTTTATCCAAACTCAGGTTTTCCATTATGGGTAAGTTGTATCAACATTTGGTTTTCTGGGTTTGGAGGTCACCCAATCGGAGGGGGG